TTCAAATCTAACCATCCTTTCCAATATTCTCGACCAAAAACTTCGACCTATTCCTTTGGCTGTGGTCCAATTATTATCATCCTACCATCACAGAGAATCCATCCAGGAGCTTGAGATTTGTGTTGAGCAATTGAAAGCCCTTTCTGAAACAGATATGAATGATGCTCATCTCGCCAAAACATGCCATTTCATTATTTCTTTATGTTGTTGCGAAACATTGGACAAAGATTCATTGATCCATTCCTGCAACAGCTTTTTAAAATCGTCTTTATTTTGCCTTTGTATTGTTTGAGGTGGGGTGGAAGAGGAAAAGCTTCCTTTTTGCTCAAAGATGCATTTGTTGTCATTTCAAATTCCCATTTATTAACTCCATGCGAGAGCGAGAGAATGTTATGTAGCATTGGTGCAAAATTGTTGGACATGTATTCTGATTTGAAATATGAAAACGAATACCATTCATTTTTGGAATTTGTTTGCCGACGAATTTCGACCTGCAACACAGGAAAAAAGAAGTATGCATCTGAACACTATTGCAAACTATTGCTTGATAACGTGAAACTTAATCTTCGTCCGCCAATTTTGGAAACTCATGAATATACTGAAGATCTTAAATGTGTTTTGGATAAACCATTCAAAACCAAGTATTTTGAAGAAGATTTGGTGAAATTTGAAAAGGGAGATCCAAAAAGTATTTACAAGGCATTGCATTCAGTATACAGTGACAAAACCTTTAACTTATTCTTTACCAGAGCTCACAAATTGGCAACCATTGACCGTACAGCCTTAGAAAAGGGATATATGTTGGATTTAAATGAAAGACTTGTCCTTCTTTGCAATTGCATTCACAACTTCCATATCATTCTAACCAAATTCAAGAATTCTGTTTCTTTTAGCAAAGGATCTCGAATTTTCAAAAATTCCATACTCGATATTGATGCTTATGATTACGCAATTTCTAATTATGTAGAGTTGATATTGCATCCCTCAAACCCATCCACAAGCCTGATCACTGATTTCAAAGAGCGATTTTATGAATTGTTTTTGGGTGTTGTCACAAAGAATTACAAAGACATTGAGCATGCTATTAAAAAAACAATGCTGGACGAAGAAAAATTATCCACCTTTGACAACAAGGACAGCATGAAAAAAGCATTGCATGATATATTGGAATTTCTCTCCGAAAAAACAGAGGAAATTGGAAAGGTGCAAACAAGATCTGGAGTATTTCGAGAGTGTAATTAAGAAGCATTTAAAGGGAGACAAGCAGAAGATTGACAAGTCCATTTACAGCTGGTACATGATGTCCAAACGTAACAAAGTGACTGTTGTAGATGATCCATATGACTGTTCAAGTGATGACGAGCAATAAAGAATGATTAGCTATGGACAATGTATTATTTAGCACCAATTCCAACAAAGGTCTCTAATGTCTCCATGAAATTGAATACAAATTCGATAGCAGCATCATTTATCTAAGCATCCTTATCTTCGAGTGGTCTTCGTTTCCACAAAATGACAACTCCTGAGCTGTCACAACTTGCCAACAGAGTCTCATCATAGGACCACGACACGTCCAGCACTGGAGAGGAGTGTCCCATCAAACGATTGATCGCATGAGAGGAACCAAACTTGGTGCTGTAAAACAAAATTTCTGTTGATTCACTTCCTGTAACAAAGCATGAACTGGCCATATAAGGAACAAGTGGACAAAAATGACTTCTTACAGGATGGTTTTTCTGCGAGACGGGGAATCGAATGGATTCTATAAATTGACCTGCCGTCTGGCTATACTGATACAAGTGCACATAGCTGTCCATGGCACTAACTAAAATTCTGGGGCTAGCTTTTGAAGAATTTCCTGTCCACATTTGATAATCAATGGATGAGATGCTCTTTCCGTTGAGGGATACCTTAGTTTTTTGGAGGAGTTTTCCAAAGGCAATTTTTGAAGCATCAAAGTCATAAATCCATAGATATCCCATCACATCACCAATGAAAATTCGATTACCCAGTGTAGAGAACGTTAAACATGTCACATGATTATTCGATCCAAGTGACATGTTAATATTCACAAAACTTCCCATTCCCACAGATAATTTGTTAATTTTCAACTTTTCTACAAGTTTTCCTGTACTCAAATTGTACAATCCGACAATTCCTCCTTCGAATCCAACACAAAAGAAATTTGGATTAAGTGGGAAGAATTTGACGGCTCGACAAGCTCCCTGCTTGTCAATAACTCTAATACATTTTCCGTTAGATGTGTTCCAAATACGTATTGTTGCATCTTTGGAAACTGTTAAAATGTATTCATTACTAAGTGACCAATCAAAATCTAGAATGGCATCTTTGTGTCCTTTCAGACGATGTATAATTTCTGGTGTTTTCCACGCTGTTGCGATTGCTAAAGTGCCATCGTTGGCAGCAAATGCCAATAAATCCCTATTGTCATTGGCAAACTTGATGACAGTGACTTCAATTCCATCATATCCATTTCCAAGTTCAAAGATGTGATGCATGCCAACAAATTCATAAACTTCAGACATTTTAGTTCTTGGAACAGATGGAGAATTGGTTTCATAATCTTCCACATTTTCATCAGATATCGAGTCTTCATGTCCACTCATGATCTGACTTGAATCCAACTGAGAATCCAATTGATACGAGGCACAACTGTCATGTTCTGATAAACGATTGCTTTGACTTCTTCGATGAGAGGCTGATGATGATTTTGGAATATTCGTAGAACCTCCAGACAAAAACAAGAATTGAGGAGGCTTCATTTGGTCTTGTTGTTTCTTGGCATCGAATACCATTAGCATATCTTGTGGGGTGAGTTTCATGGAAGGATTGGACTGAGCGGATGCAAAGGTTTGTCCTTTTTGTTCCAACAAGAACCTTCTCCATTCCAAATAGGTAGAATTTGCCGTTGATTGCCTTTTAAAACTATTCTCATGATAATGTTGATGATGAGAATGATGATGATGATTAGAGGAAGGAGAAGTGGAAGCAGAGGCTTTAGATTTCTTAACGGCTCGTAATTCCTTCCGAAGAGAATGATAACGTTTGGAACGGAAGGATCCCAATGTTGCATCAATTTGATCCCTTTCTTGTTCAAAGGGAGAGGAAGCAGCAATACTCGTGGAATTATCCATCATTTCCAATTTGTATTTGTAATAATAATTTCAATAAAAACGATTGTACGTTATACAATTTGAAAATGTTGCAATGTCCGTTATATAAATTTAATTGAACTGAAACTATAAATAATCGAATTATTGATGACTGTAATGATCTAAAAAGTTCGAGTGTGGAGTGATGATGTGGTAAGCAACGAATTTGTTTTTTTTGAATATTTCTTTAAAAAATTAAATTTATTCATGTTTCGTAAAATCATAAAATCAAAATTATTTCCTCCTTAGTAATCATCCAAACTATTTCCAATCGCATAAACCTTGATATCACTCAATTGATTTTGATTCAAAGCTGTATGCAGTTTTTCCATAAAGAAAAAGTCACCCTCAGAAAATCGATAACTCACATACACAATGTCAGAAACGGAGCCCTGATGATCCTGACTACTATTTCCTCCATAAAAATACAGAGAGTGACTTTTTGGTTCATGGGAAAGGGTAGAGCAGAGTAGGCAACCTGCTTGTTCACCCAACTCGGGACAAATCGACCATTCACATCTGCAAAGATCGAAAACAAAGCAATCACTTCTTGGAATTCGATCATTCTGGGCACAACCTCCATGTGAGAGTAAAAAGCGATCATTCAATAAGCACAAAGTGTGACCATAAATTGGCTCAGGATTTGCACCATAATTCCAGTGCTCAAATTCAACTACTTCCCATGTTTGTGTTTTGAAATGAAATATTCCCAATTCACAAGTCAATTTAGGAACATCAGAATTAATCTCGCCGGCATAGACAATCATGGTGTCATTGGTTTCGTTATAGACGGCAGTTGAAAAAGATCGTGAAGGGAAAATATTTCTTGGCTTAATTACATTTTTCCACTTGCCTGATACACAATCAAAGACAAACAAATCATCACTCTTTTCATCATGGTCACATGAAATAAATATTATTACAAATCGCAGAGGGTTTTAAAAATTAAGAAAAATAGGGAAAATACAAGTCATCAAATGTAGTTCCATGAGACACCATTTGTTGATGCATGAACCAATTTTCATAGTATTTCATTCGTAATAATTTTGGTTCATATGCATGTCCAATAAATTGCAAATAATCAACAGATATTTGTAAAACACAATGATCTACAAAACATGATCAAAAAACCTATTTCCCTACCTTCCAATAACGAGTAAATCCTCCAAAAATTACAAGCGAATGATCCACAGTTCTATAAACACATACATGTCCATACAGTCCTGTTTCTGGTGCTTTACCATTTGTTGGAAATGAAAAAGTGCTCCATTTCTTATCTTTAAGAGAATATCGATACATATCAACAGAACTTTCTGTAGATGATGAATCAGTAATTCCTCCAATGATATACAATGAGTGATTACATGAAACATAATTCAATGAATGATAATGGAGAGATTCTTGAGGTAACTTTCCACTCGAATCCGATTCTCCTCCTTCACTTTTGATCCACTTCTTTTGTTTGGTATCATAACGTTGGAAAGCAACAGACGGATTGTTTCTTCCCCCCCATGAATAGATTAGACTCAGTTCGGGAATAAATTGTGTGGTATGGGCAAATACAGCTCTCGGTTGGCTATCTTGATCGAGACCAATGGGTTCCTCAGCTGCTACATCATCCAGTCCTGATCTCTTCTTTGTGGATTTGCTTTTCTGAAAGATGGGATAATAAATGGGACATTTCAACACATGTCGGTAGTGGAGTTTACGAATGGGAAGATCATCTCCTTCCTCAGAATTGTTGTGGTGGTGGTCATGATCATCATGATCATCAGCGAAGAGATTTCCTAGACACATTTTTTTGAATATTATAGGTAAATTGGAACTT